TTTTTTTTTTTTTTTTTTTTTTTTTTTTTTTTTTTTTTTTTTTTTTTTTTTGTCTATTTGATTCTTGAACTTTAAAAAACGTCGAATAGATTATTGAACTTTCAATTTTGTGGTTAATAGGCGTTTGATCTATCCAATATATTTTAAAAAATTGATAGTTTACAAATTATATATTTTTAGAGTTCAGAGACTTATAAGACATTAAGTTCATGAGCCTTAGTTGAAGCAGTTTAAAAAAAGAAAAAAAAAAGTTTAGGGACTAAACTTGTAATTTAATAATAATTTATTTTTTTATTTTTAACATGAATGAGTTGTTCCATATCGGAGTAGATCGATCAAAGTGGAGAGAGGAGTGGGGATCGTTTTTTTGGAGATGAACAAAAAAATGTCTTTTTATTTTATTTTTATTTTTGTAAACACGACTATTTATAATGGTATGATATTGTCCACTTTGAGCATAAGCTCTCATAGTTTTACTTTGTGCTCCTCAAAAGGCCTCGTACCAATAGAGATAGTATTATTTGATTATAAATCCATGATCATTTCGAGAAAACCTCGTACTAATAGAGATAGTATTATTTGGTTATAAATCCATGATCATTCTCTAAATTAGCTGAGGTGGGACTTTCATCATCGAACATAATTGTGTTTGGTTGGCAAGAAAATGAACGAAAAAACCAAAGAAATTTGAAACCCATGAAGAAAATAGTGAACTTTACCTTGTGTTCTAGCAAGAGGCCTTTTGATCTCTCTCCAACATTGTTGGCAATGAAGGTTTACTTTGTAAATGGCAGTAATGGCTTCAGCTTTCTCTCCCATTTTTGGACAACAAGCTTATGAACAAGGATTTATAACGGATGAATTAAGTTTGAATCCTTCTGGTTTTTCTTTTCCACACGACATCGTTTTGGTGAGATTTGCTGATGGTTGGTCATCTGCTTGCTTCAAATCTCTTTCATTTTCATCCCAAATTAGTCTTTGTTGTGCCGAATTGGATCAACTCTTTTTCATTCTTGTAGAAAATTGGAGCACACGTAATATTTTTTTTGTGTTAAGAGTCGGAAACTGCGAGATCTCAGTTGGAAAGGGGAACCAATGGAAGTCTTTTCCTAGCAACAATATTTGCTAGTACAAATGGTATTAGAAGAGCCAGACACCAATTGGGCCCCGAGGAGGGTGGATTTTGGTTGGAGAGGGGAATGAAGAATTCCTTAGAGGGGTGGAAACCTCTCCCTAAAAGATACGTTTTAAAGTCGTGAGGCTAAGATACGTTTTAAAATCGTGAGGCTAAGATACGTTTTAAAATCGTGAGGCTGACGACGATATGTAAGGAGGCCAAAGTAGACAATATTTGCTAGTAGTGGATTTGGGCAAATGAAGTTAGAGCTAGATATCGGCAGTGTGCCAGCGAAGACACTAGCCCCCCGAGGTGAATGAGATTCCATGTTGGTTGAAGAGGAGAACAAAACATCATTTGTAAGAGAGTGAAAATTTCTACCTAGCAGACGCGTTTTAAAACTATAAAAACGACGAAATGTAACGAGTCAAAGCGAACAGATATAGCGACAGGCTTGAGCTGTTACAAAGGAGACAATTGAGCTCAATTACATATTCTAGATTCATACCAAAGTCTTCATAGCAATGAAAATATAGTTAATGTGGAATTTCAGCGGATCACTCTCATAAGTCTCAGAAGTTAGTGACAGATTAATATCTTTAAATACTTCGATTTCTTGTTATGAACGGTCTCGGAATACAATGTTACATTCTTTTGTATGTATACTACACAACATCTAAAGATGTGGTAGAACTTGTAGAAAAACAAATCAAACACAAAGGTAATTACTTGCAAATGAAAGATGACCAGCTTTTTGATGGCGTTACAAGAGTTACAGTGTCTTCTTATGAACGGTATGAGGTCCAGCCATGTCGACGGTGCCAGGGGCTCCGACCATAGTCACGCCTGGAGCGGTGGCCACGTTGGTGGTGGTGCCGTCGCCAGGAGCCACAAAGATATTGGTGTGAGCATTGGCATGCTTAGCCATTTCTTTCTCAGCCCTCTTTCCAGCTTTGGCAACATGAAGACTCATTGCAGCTTCAGCCTCTCTTGCCAATCTTACCTCATGAGCCACCTCCACTCTTGCCTTTGCTAGCTCCTTCTCTGCCTGCCAATAGAATGTAACATTGTATTCGGCCGAGACCAACACATGTCTTAATCAATCGAGACTGACAGATACCTTAACTACACGGTCTCTCAATCGAGACTGACATACACCTTAACTAGTTGATACCTTAACTACACGGTCTCTCAATCGAGACTGACAGATACCTTAACCAGCTGACATTGACATTCAGATTGAAAATATTCTCCATAATACAACCAAACTCGATATTATTGAGATTTGTGCATGTGTGTGTGTTTTCTCGGGAGCTCACCTTCTCTTCGGCCTTTGCCTCGGACTTGGCCTTCCGCATGGCGGTGATGTCGTGTAGCTTGTCCCTTACTGCTTGCATCTTTGTCTTTTGGACTTGTAAAAACTGAAGCTAGTTTCTTTGAAATGGCTTTAAAAGAGAGAATAGTAATGATTAAACCCAAGTTCATTGCCATATTTATAGTTCATTTGCATTCGCCCTCTTGGCTGTTACGTTGACAATTGTAGAATGAGCATTAATTCTAGGAAAGATTTGTGGTTCAATTCAAGCCCATTTCCTCCGGCTCTTAAGTGAAAAGTGTTTATATTAGGATAAATTTTTTAAGCAATAAAAAGATGGAAGTGAAATTAATTGGCTTTTTATTTCATAATTAATCAAGATCCAATAACAACATTTTCCCCCTAATGTTTAGGAAACGGTAACTGAATGAGAATCCTGAATCAGTTTGGAAGAGTAAGGGAGAAAACTAATTTCCGTTGATACCTTCGGAGGATAGCTCTGACCCCAATCCAATGCTTTCCCTGTGATATTGTTCTCTTTGTATTTTTACTTTTGAGCTTTCCCTCAAGGCTTTTAAAACGTGCATGCCGAGAAGTTTCAACATCTTATAAAGATTTTCCTCAAGGCTTTAAGACGTGCATGCCGAGAGGTTTCAACACCTTATAAAAATTTTCCTCAAGGCTTTAAAACGTGCATGCGGGTTTCCATTTTCGTTCTTCTCTCCGACTAATGTGAGATCTCACAATCTACCCCTTGGGGGCCATCCTTATGGGAACACCACTCAGAATGATACCATTTGTAACAGCTCAAGCCTACCGCTAGTGGATATTGTTCTCTTTGGACCTTCCTTCTTGGACTGCCCATCCTTATCGACACACCACCCAGAATGATACCATTTGTAACAGCTCAAGCCTACCGCTATCAGATATTGTTCTCTTTGGACCTTCCTTCTTGGACTGCCCATCCTTATCGGCACACCACCCAGATGATACCATTTGTAACAGCTCAAGCCTACCACTAGCCGATATTGTTCTCTTTGGACCTTCCTTTTCGCACTTCCCTTCAAGGTCTTAAAACACGTATGCCAGGGAGAGGTTTCCACACCCTTACAAGAAATGCTTTGTTTCCCACTCCAACCAACGTAGGATCTCACAAGCTCTCCCAGGTTGAAGAGGTATTTTGTTGTTTGGTCGAGAAAAGCTTTGCAAGACGCAGTTCCGTTATTTTCATTTGCTCTTGAGCAGCAATCTCAAACTCAACTATGGGTCTATTTGAATATCGTTTCTGCAGCAGACACAATTGTTCTTACTCCAGATAGTGAAAACATTTTGGACAGAATGAAGAAGGATCATTTAGAGTTTTAGACAAATGGAACAAAGCCTTCCAACTAATCAACCAAACTGCTCAGTTCCTTTCTAAATGATGGCTGACAAGCATATCTTAAGAATTGCATCTCTGGCCTAAGAAGATGGCAATGGCAATGGCTTCTCATCATTGAGCTAGGTTTCTGGAAAAATAGAAGGTTTTTAGGAGGAAAGAATCGAAAATCACTACTTATACCAACAAGGTACACCTTTCTTTTCGGCGGCTCAATCCGAGGAACTCCAAGGTTAAGCGTACCTTGCTTCAAACAATTCTATGTTGGGTATATGTGAGTAATGACAATGTATGCCGGAAGAACTCATGTTGGTCTGGGAATACTTGACCTTTTATTATCGACAAATATCTTGTATCCATTTATTCCTCTTTTCATTTTCTTTGTAATTTATTTGACGATCCTAAATAAGAATTTCATCAGTTTTAGCAAATATTCTCAGTCGAATCGTGAATATGTCGCAAGGGAGGCATGAATCGTTGTTATAGGTCAACTAGATGATACTAAAACAGACTACAAATACTTGCCAAATTTATGAGCAAGAGCACTGCATGATCTGACCTGAAATCTAGAGCCAGTCACGGTTGCCAGTGCAGGTGACTGTTCCTCCTTACTCAACCTGAGATCAAGCTCTACGTTCCAGTATTCAATCGCATCATAGAAGAACACTATCTATTCCTAATTCCGTTAAAAAAAACTGCAAGCAACCAGCACTAAAAGATAAAACATCAGCCTCGATTGATCACTGACAATGGTACAGAGAGATTAAAGAAGGTGAAAGAATAAAAATGGAGACCTGATTGACCCTGCAGCTTATTCCAAGGAGGAAAAGCGCGAAGCGGATACCATTTCTCCGGCGAATTCGGAGCTTCCACAGCACGCCCGAAACTCTCCCTCTCCAAAATCGCACTCCGACGCCGTCGTTATGGCTGCCGATCACTAGCTCTTCTCGACAGTCGGTGTATCTACGCCTCACTCAACAGCCGAATCAAGTTCATATTGAAAATTATTCCAAACATTTTATTTAGTGTTAAAATGGGTATATAATTTTTTTTTAAAAAAGAAAATGTCCATAAATCAATTATTTATTATACACAAAATTAAAATTTCAGGAATTAATAACAAAATTGATATTTTTAGGTATATTTTTTTAATTCAAATATGAAAATTTAGAGGTAAAGAAGTTTTGCATCCGAAAAAAAAAATGTTTATAAAAACTATTTTGTTTTAAAAATATTAAATTTTTAATATTTTCTTTATTTTTAGAATTGGGCTAATAATTAAATATTTATTTTAAGCACATTTTTTTTTAAAAAAAAGATAAAATATTTATTAACTCTCGGTTTTGAATTGGATTTTATTATTATTATTTTTTTACAATTATGGTTCAGATTTTTGTTTTTTAACACCGCTAGGAGTTGAATTATTCAACACAATTAAACGACGCCGTTTCGGTAGCGATGGCAGCCCCTGCGACTCCAACTTTATCCGGATTCCCGACTTAGTGTCGTGTACGTTTAAAAGATCAAAACTATACGTCGTTTCAGTACAGCATAGAACGACATGTAGTTTTAATGGCAGCTCTCTTCCACAATACCCACGTTTGGATGAACAGAGACTAAACACAAAGCATTGAAGCCTGCTAGCTGAATCGTAAAGCTATTTGGCTTCCACATTCTAATCTCTTTTCGATTTCATTTCGTTGAAGAGAACATTTCCGAGGCATGGCGTCCTTCAATTCTACCGGAGTTGATGAAGATCAGGTTCTTAATTTCTCTCGTTTTATCGTGCTTTTACACATTAAACCATCGCCATTTTTCTGAAGCTTGCAAGATCCTTATCGAAATTTTATAGGATTATCATTTCATTAGCTTTTTAAGTGATGAGAGATTCCTTATGGATTAGGCGATTATTCATCGGCAAATAGCCATTTATCACGATGAAGTTCTTTTCACTTCGGTTGTTTATCTTTGCTCGTTAGCTATAACTGTAAGCAAAGAAGGTTATAGATACTGAAATCATGGTGGTTATTAGCTTAGATTTTCTCTCTGTAAACGTACGGTTTATATTGAGATGTTGCTGATAATTTTCTTTGCAACAGGTTTTAGTGGAAGAGAAGCGGTCTGTGAGATTATTGACTTTAAACCGAACTAAGCAGTTGAATGCTCTTTCATTCAAAATGGTGAGGCCTGCGATTGTGATTTTCTGTTCTACTTGCAGCTTTTTCTGTTGTGTTTCCATTTAGCAATATATATATATATATTTTTTGATGATGCTGCGTAATTGAACTATCCAATGTGTAGCGAACTCTTGCGTGGTTTATATGTATAAGACAGACAGAATAATGTTATTTTCAAGTAATGGCGTGTATTTTGTTCAAGTTTGCGAACATGGTGTTCTCTTTGTTGCTTCCCGCCATGGATTAGCATTAACTGGACTATATGATGTTGAGAATTGTTGGGAGAGGTGTCCTACGTCGGCTAATCAAGGGATTGATCATGAGTTTATAAGTAAGGAATACATCTCTATTGGTGTAGGGTATTTTGAGAAAATTAAAAGCAAAGCCATGAGAGCTATTGCTAAAGTGGACAATATCGTACAATTATAGAAGTTCGTGATTCCTAACATGGTATCAGTGTCATGCCCTTAACTTAGCCATGTCAATAGAATCTTCAAATGTCGAACAAAGAAGTTGTAACCCTTGAAAGTGTAGTCCAAAGTGTCTCAAGTGTCGAATAAACGGTGTACTTTGTTCGAGGGCTCCAGAGAGAAGGAGTCGAACCTGGATTTAGGGGAGGCGGCTAAAGGGCTTCATAGGCCTCAGGGGAGGCTCGATAGTGTACTTTGTTCGAGGGGAGGATTGTTGAGAATTGTTAGGAGAGATGTCTCACATTGGCTAATTAAGGGGTTGCTCATGGGTTTATAAGTAAGGAATACATCTCCCTTGGTACGAGGCCTTTTGGGAAAATCAAAAGCAAATCCATGAGAGCTTATGCTGAAAGTGGACAATATCGTACCATTATGGGGGTTCGTGATTCCGAACATCTGATCCTTGCTGAAATTAGGTTAACAATTAATATTCAATAACCACCAAACTCTTGTGCTCAAGGACTCTTCATCTTATTATTTACAAGCATTACGTGTCACGGTGTCAATTTTGATCAGCCTGATGCCTATTGTGGCCTGATACCGTTCTAATTAGTGTTTTTCTTGATCTTTCAATCCAGGTTTCCCGGCTATTGGAACTCTTTGTTTCCTATGATACAGATCCCAGTGTGAAGCTCGTGGTTGTCAAGGTATTTCACGTCTCCATCAAGAATTGCTATATATATATACATAACATTGAAATGAATAATTTTTTAATTACTCGAGTATCTTCTATGTGTTAGTAGGGGAAAGGAAGGGCATTTTGTGCTGGGGGTGATGTGTCAGCTGTGGTTCATGACCTTAAACAGGGTAAGTTTCTTTAATTGCACAACTCCGTGTCAACTAATTACGAGCGTCTAATTGACGCTCGAGATCAAAAAAATTTCATCTTTTTACCTACTCCTTATATATGGTGTTCACAGTTAGCCTGTCATCTAATCTAGGAGAGGTGTGCAAAAGTTAACTTGATAATATGAAAAAGCATTTATATTTAGGTAATCATAATCCTGGTTTATGTGAGTTAGGTGATTGGAGGAAAGGTGCTTATTTCTTCCAGAAAGAGTTCATCCTAAATTATTTGATGGCAACTTTCAGCAAGCCACAGGTAATTTTGGTTGCTCTAAGTTCAGCTCATTTTAGTCTATGATCACTTTTACTTTGTTAAATTTAACTTTGAGTGATTGCTTGAATATTCCTAAGGTTTCTCTCCTGAATGGTATTGTCATGGGCGGAGGGGCCGGTGTTTCAATACACGGTAGATTCCGTGTTGCAACGGAGAAATCGGTATACCGAACTCAAGCTCTGAACTTTTTGTCCTTGAATTATTGATCCAATGCCCATGTTTTAGAGTTCATTGAAGATGTGTAGAATGCTTCGAAGATATGTTTTGCTGTTTTCATTATGTCGGATTGGGAATTTGAGGATGTTGAATTATCTTTCTATTCTTGTACTTCTGTACCATTGTTTTAATCATTAGGGAAAGGGAATATATTAATATGACAATTTACTTTCTTCAGGTGTTTGCAATGCCTGAAACTGCTTTAGGGCTCTTCCCAGATGTTGGTGCTTCTTATTACTTGTCGAGACTCCCCGGATTTTTTGGTATAACTTATTGTCCTGTATACCCCTTGTGTTTGTATATGTATTTTTTAGTATTGAGTATTAGTTGACATATACCATGGACAATATTTACTAGCAAAATGTGAGATCCCACATCGGTTGGAGAGAGGAACGAAGCATTCTTTATAAGGATGTGGGAACCTCTCCTTAGCAAACGCATTTTAAAACCGTGAGGCTGTCGGCGATACGTAATGGGCCAAAACGGACAATATCTACTAGCGGTGGGCTTGAGCTCTTACAAATGGTATAAGAGCCAGACACGGAACGGTGTGCCAGCGAGGATGCTGGACCCCTAAGGGAGGTGGATTGTAAGATTCCACATCGGTTGGAGAGATGAACGAAACATTCTTTATAAGGACGTGGAAACGTGATCAGTTTGTCATCTAATACTTGTGCTTGGAGGTACTCTATGCATTAAGTCTTATTATTTTGCTAAAACTTTTGCAGGTGAATATGTTGGCCTAACAGGTGCGAGGTTGGATGGTGCTGAAATGCTTGCATGTGGTCTTGCTACTCACTTTGTTGTTTCAGAGGTATACTACCTAACGACTCGAAATTTACTTAATTTAAAGTCGCTACGCGGAAATACTTCATTTAAACTTTTATTAAACATAACCTTCAGCTTAAAATACTGTTATGGACTTACGTGTTTTGAAAACACTTTTAAAAACGACACAACAAAAGACTAAATAAAATAAATAAACGTTTAAATAAAAAACATCATATTCTTTCGTTACAACCTCCTCCTAAATTTCTATGATGCTCAAATGTTAAATTAAAAGAAAGACATCCATGCTTAGATGAAGAACAGTTTCACATAAGAAATTATTAGTGTTGTATAAGTTTTTCGACAACATATTTCATAGGCTAAGTGGTTGTTCATTTTTGTTACTCCTATCCATTACCAGAAATTGAAGGACTTAGAGGAAGCACTTTGCAGAGCAGATACAAGTCCGCCATGCAACATTTCAGAAATTATTGATAAGTTCACCCAAAGACCAATCCTTAAAGAGCAAAGTGCATATCACCGGTATGACTTTATCTTTGGCACAAATTATGGGCGATGATTTTAAGGCTTCGTATCAAAAACTCTATTGAGCTGAGTGTTAATATAATGAAATTATCAGTAGTTGTTGAAGTATTAATATAGTTAAATTTACACTAACCTATAAACTTAAGCTTTTGGGTTAATTCAGATTTAGAAGTTCAATTTAAAATCAAATGATTGGTTTTCACAGGTTGGATGTCATTGATAAGTGCTTCTCTCGAAGAACAGTTGAAGACATTTTAGCTGCACTTGTAAGTTGATATGGATAACACAATATCTTCTTGTCATATGCGTTCTTTATGATTTAACTCTCTTATGTTCTTATTTCTCTTGTAGTTCATTGGATATTTTATGATAATGGTTATAGGAGGGATTGTGTCCCATTTAGCTAATTGTAATCTGATGCTTTGCTCTTGTAGGAGGAGGAGGCACTGAAAAAGAAAGATGATTGGGCCACCTCAACAATTCAGGCCTTGAAGAAGGCATCACCAACCAGTCTTAAAATCTCTTTGAGATCGGTGTGCAACCATCCTAATAAGTTTCAAACTGCCCCTTTCTTTGATCGACTTCTGCTCTGGATATGAATTTTGATGAACGACAATTTTTGTAACAGCCTAAGCCCACCGCTAGCAGATATTGTCCTCTTTGGGCTTTCCCTTTCGGGCTTCCCCTCAAGATTTTTAAAACGCGTCTGTTAGGGAGAGGTTTTTACACCCTCATAAAAAATGTTTCGTTCTCCTCCCCAACCGATGTGGGATCTCACAATCCACCTCCCTTTGGGGCCTAACGTCCTCGCTGGTACTCGTTCCCTTCTCCAATTGATGTGGGACCCCCCAATCCAACCCCTTTTGAGACCCAACGTCTTTGCTGGCACACCGCCTTGTGTCCACCTCTTTTGGGGCTCAGCCTCCTCGCTGGCACATCACCCTATGTCTGGCTCTGATACCATTTGTAATAGCCCAAGCCCACCGCTAGTATATATTGTCTTCTTTGGGCTTTCCCTTTCGGGTTTCCCCTCAAAGTTTTTAAAACGCTGTTACGGAGAGGTTTCTACACCTTTATAAAAAATGTTTCGTTCTCCTCCCCAACCGATGTGGAATCTCACAGTTTTAGTTATTGAGATTCCTTTTACACACGTACACAAGCATCTGTTGTCTCATTGTTTTGCAGACTTCAGTCAGGGTCTTAGTTTTTTCAATTACTGTCAATTTCGTGAAAATTTTGAATTATACATCAATGTACTTAATATGATCCCTTTCTGAAATTACAGATCAGAGAAGGCAGACTTCAAGGTATTGGTCAGTGTCTCATTCGTGAGTACAGAATGGTTTGTCATGTCCTGCGAGGGGAAGTCAGCAAAGATTTTGTTGAGGTCTTCCACTGCCTTGGATTGGTTTATCCCCACAACTTTGACATTTCTATTACTAAAGATCATGATGCCATTTCATAAATGCAGGGTTGTCGAGCTATATTGTTGGATAAAGATCACAACCCAAAGGTACACGTCGAGTGTTTCGTGATTCCCAGATGTACGTTTTTAGAAATCGATACATCCGTTCTCTGATCTCTCTCTCTCGCTCTCTTTTATAGTGGGAACCCTCTAATCTGGGGCTTGTCACTGATGCTATGGTTGAGAGATACTTCTCTAGGATTGAAGATGAAGACTGGGAAGACCTAAAGCTCCCTGCAAGATCCAACTTGCCTGCTTCAGCCATTTCAAAACTCTAGGTTCCCCGAGTTTGCTACTTACTCGATAAATAATATCTTAGTACTTGGCTAGTCGTTTAGGTCGGAAATAAGCCTTCCATAACAAGGAATCAGTAGTAGATTTATCGTATTCTACGAGCACCGAACATATGTAAAATAAAGTATTCGTGATAAAATTTCAATTTTACACCATGCTACATATGATAACACTGTTCTTTGTTATTTCTTGTAAACCTATTTTCTATTTATACAGTAGAGAAGGAAATACCATTGAAAAGCTTCTGCAGTGCCATATTTAGGTACATACACGCTTCACCAATAATCTCGGCAAGAACAGACGCCGTCTTTGAAGTGGTGGAAACGGATTCGATCTCGTACCATTATCTGCCTTCGGTAAATCTTCGAGACGAGTTTTATCATAGTATGACAGTCTGAGCAGACCCTAAGGTTTTTCAGGATAACAATTTTCCTCCCTGGCTTAGATTTCAATAAGCCATAGCATAAAGCTAGTTTTTCACTATGTTGAGAAACTGATTCTTCCTTCTTATTATCATCAATGTTGAGTAATACTTCTGAGATATCTGCAACATAGCCTGCTTGTTTAAGCTTCTCTCTAACTTGTCTAAGCATTTTAAATATTTCAGTTATTTCCGGGTGAGAACAATCTCCAGCCAGAAACGAATGGGTGATGTTATCGATGACAACCGAACTGTAACCAGGTGTTTTCTGAATTCCTTTCTCGTTCATCAATTCTCGAACTTTTTTCACTTCATTCCACATTTGCCTTTTTGCATAAATGTTTGATAGCAAAATGTAAACTCCATCATTTGTTGGTTCCAGTTCTAGCAGGCATCTCACAGATTCCTCGCCGAGCTCAAGATCGTTGTATACTCTGCAAGCACCGAGCATAGCGCCCCATATTGCACCATTTGGCTGTAAAGGCATTGCTTGGATAAATTCCCGAGCTTCGACCAGACGTCCCGCTCTGCATAAAAGATCTACCATGCACCCGTAATGCTCCAACTTTGGTCTTATTCCATATAATGCTTCCATTTCATGGAATAGCTTCTTGCCCTCTTGAACTAATCCTGCGTGGCTGCAGGCAGTCAGTACCCCAATGAAAGTTATTTCATCTGGCTGCAAGTCTGTCATCTGCATTAGGCGCAACCGAGTGAGAGCCTCCCTGCCGAGGCCGTGTAGAGCGAGACCGTTCACCAAAGAATTCCAAGAGATCAAATCTCTTTTCGACATGCTATCAAAGATTCTCTTGGCAGCATCTATTTCTCCACACTTTGAGTACATGTCGATCAACGCGTTACTCAAACTAACCGAACAATCCTGTTCGGTCCTGGTAATATAGTCATGAATCCATCTTCCTGTTTCTAAGTCACCCAATTGAGCACATGCCGATACAACGGCTAGAGTCGTGACGTCATTTGGACGCACATTCGAGGCACCAGTCATTTCCTTGAATAACTGCAACGCCTCTGTGCTTCTATTGTTCTTGACATAACCAAAAATCAAAGCCGAGAAGGTATATACATTTCTCTCAGACATATTATCAAACACTTGCCTTGCAGTTTTTAGATCCCCACATTTAGCATACATATCAACCAAAGCACTTCCTAGAACAGCACAAATCTTCATACCCATCTCCTGAATTCGAGAATGCAGCTTCATTCCAACACCCAAATCTTTCAACTCAGCCGAAGCCGATACGAGCGTCACCATTGTAACTTCATCAGGGCTAAACCCATCTTCCACCATTTTCTCATACATAACCAAAGCCTCATTAGGACAATGGTTTCTCGTATAGCCACTAATCATCGAAGTCCACACCACTTTGTTTCTATGACCCATTTTCTCAAACAAGAACCTCGCAGAGTTCAAATCCCCACAGGAGGCATACATATTTAACAATGTGGTTTCTATGTACAGGTCTGAATCAAGCCTATACTTGACGATCTGGCCATGTAGAACCTTCCCAACTTTGAACTCCAATGAAAGGGCGCAACCCTTTAGCAGAGAAGGAAATGTGAATCTATCAGGAACAATCCTTGACCATTGAAGCATCTCAATGTAACTTCGGAGCGCCCTTCTCGGCATGTCGGAATTCACAAAGCCTCTCAACATGGTATTCCAAGTAAGTATATCCAACTCTCGAGTGTGAGTAAAAACCGAATAAGCATAGGCGACTCCGAGCGAGCCCATCGAGAGGACATGGGCAATGAGCTTGTTGAGTGATGGGGTATGGTGGATGAAGCCTGTAACGACCATTTGTGCATGAAGTTGCTGAAATTCTTTGAGCTCTGTCCATTTTTTGCTGTTCTCTAAGAGGGGAAATGGTTTTTGGTTGAATTTGAGACTGGGTTTTGGAGTGGTGGATAGGTTTGAAGGGATTTTGATGACAAATAATTTTTGGGTCAAAATCATTGGGCTCTGTTTTGGCTTCGGTTTTGGTTTTGAATTTTGTTTGTTTTGGGGTTTTAACAATCTGTTGGCTAAGATAAGGTTGCCATTTGGACCACTCAACTGGGAAGAGATAAGAGGAGAGCATGAATTGACTAATGGATGAGTTGAGATCCAACTTGTTCATTACTCAAATTTCAACTCATTGTTGATTTAATGTTATGATTAGGTTCACAGATTGCCGACCATTAACTGATGCAAGTTGGATAATATAATTTGATCATTTTTTTTTTATTGTCATTATTATTATTTTCTTTTTTAGTTTTTATTGTGTTAGGTGATTTTCGATTTGGTCATCTAATTTGATTTGAATGTTCTAGATTATATTAATTTCTCCTTGAAAAAAAAAATAAAAAATATCTGAATAATGGTCTTCACTAATTTTATAAATATGAGAGGATCCTACCCTGCCCAACTATATGATACCTCGGTATTTAATTTATTTTCACGAAACTATATTTGTATTGTAAATTTCTTTTTTCTTTGAAGATTTTTTTTATTGAGAATATATCTCTTAATCTGTTAAATTATGTTTATGTTGGCTAGGCTTTTGAGTTATGAGTCGGTATGGAAACTAACGTAGCAGCCTAAGCCCATTGCTAGCAAATTTTGTCTGCTTTGGGGTTTCCCTTTCAAGCCTTCCCTCCATTGTAAAGAATGTTTTGTTTCCCTCTCAAACGGACGTGAGATCTCACAATCCACCCTCTTCCTTTAAGGCCCAACTTCTCCCCTGGCACACTGCTCGGTGTCCACCCCTCTTTGGGGCCCAGCATCCCCTCCTCCTTTGAGGCCCAACTTCTCCCCTGGCACACTGCTTAGTGTCCACCCCTCTTTGGGGCCCAGCATCCTTGTTGGTTCACCGCTCAGTGTTTAGCTCTAATATCATTTGTAGTAGTCCAAACTCACGCTAGTAGATATTGTCCTCTTTGGGCTTTTCTTTTCGGGCTTCCCCTCTAGATTTTCAAAACGCATATGCTCGAGAGGTTTTTACACTCTTATAATAAATTATTCGTTCCTCTCTCTCCAACCAATATCTCACAACCAACTTCCATCATCAAGGTAGAATTGGGAGTCATACAACCAGAACTCACAGTTTGGTAAGAAATTTTCAGCCGAACCTCGTCAGAAAGACTTTTCTTCTTCCCCTTATTGGCCCCAAAAAGACCAAATCAAGAGTCTCTCCCTCTTCCATCTGCAACTAACAGCCAACCTCTCTGTTAAGTAAGGCCAATGGCATATGGTAGTTTCAAAGAATAAATGAAGCCACTTATTGTCAAAGGAAGAGGTTAATTCATAATTATTCAAGAACAAGAACAAGAACGAGAACGAACAAGTAACCTATGTGGTTATGACTTAGAATAGACACTGTTTCAACCTCCATAGCCACCGCTACATTGAAGGTAAGATTTAAACGTTTATAAAGGATCAAATGTATATACCAATTATTAAAAATTTCGAGTATATTTTAATTAAAGGGCAAAGTTTGAAGAGCAATTTGTTTTCCTTTTTGTGTACTTTACCCTAAATTAACTCCAATGAGGTAGGTGACTTCAAGTGGTTGGGTTAAATGGATTGGGTTGGGAAGGTAATTAATGTGTTCTTGCTTCCAACATAAGCATTTGAATTATTATGCATACAAAAGAAAATGAAAAAAAAAGTAAATAAAAAAGGTGATGAAGTGGGGTTTGACTATTTTTGGAGGTAAAATGAGTAGAATTGCATAAAAAGACGGAACCAAACTGTAAAAAGTGGAGAATAATGAAAGTGCATTCCTCCTGTTTATGCAAAAGTCTTCAATAAGGCTACAACAAAACATCATGGGAAAAGGAATTTTATTATTATTATTATTTTTAAATCCACCAAATCTCCGCTGCTTTCAAATTTTATTTAAATATTATTACTTCAATTTCCACAAAATAAAAGATCCGTTGGTCAAAATAATTACATTGTGGACACTTACCCATTTTCAAATTTTAAAAAATATTAATGTGTTAAAAATTTATTTATTTTTAGATAATTTAATTTTGTATTTAATAAATCTATAAATTTTTATTATGTTTTTGAATAACTTTTTAGATGAATTAGATAATTTTTTAAAATGACGTTTATTTACTTTGGTAAATTATTGGAAATTGTAATTATTAGTTCAATGCATAATGATGTATCGGTTTGAATCAAATTTCTTTTCCTGAGTTTTTTTTTTCTTTAGTTTAATAAAAGTGAATGGATTAGAATTATTGGCCTCGATAATATAGATTTTAACGAGTAAAATTAGATTCAAATTGATATAAATTTATAAATTAACATTGAAAAAACAACAAATTAGTATTGTAAATTAGTATTGTGATGTCCCACGTTGTTGGTCGGAGAACAAACTACCATTTATAAAGGTGTAGAAACCTTCTCCTATCAGACGTGTTTTAAAGCTTGAGGGGAAGCACTCAAAGAGAGGAAGGCCGAAAGAAAAAGCTCAACAATATTGTGTGCATCTGCATCTTTACACATACAAAAACTAGGAGAAAATTGGAGGCGTTCATAAAACTATGTACTATTGAATTAGTATATATTTCCAAAACCCAATCAAACATTGAGAAAAAAGAAAAAGTGACACAAAATACTTTATTTTCTTTTCCCTATGGTATGTTGATTGTTTAGGAAGAACAATATCAATATGAATATCAATCATCATTCACAAGCTTCAAATAATACTTCAACTCACAAGGAAAACAAGGGCCACGCCTCCATGAACTCCCATGCATCTTCAAAATCTTGATCACCTTCTCCTTTGTTGAACTCCGGCCACCGCCACCGACACCGCCGCTGGCCATGTGAAGTATCATCAGCAGCTTCTTCACTGCCCCACAAGCCATCATCTCCTCCACAACCCTCTCCTTGGGGTGAAAACTACTAATCCAAAGCAAGATCTTGACCCCAATTTTTGTTGCTACATTTGAAACATTCAAAATCTTCTTAGTCACAGCCGCTATTCCCATCCCATGTTCCACCAAAGCCAATCTCCCCTCTGCACATTCGCATAAACTCTGCAGAATCTGCAGCATTCTCTCGCATTTCGATCGGCTTGACTCCGGTAAGAGCTCGATCAGGATCCACACGGCACCGGCCTCGATCGCCTTTACTCGGCTCCTCTTCGATGATGCTAGAATTTCTATCATTACATCCAATGCACACGAGCTTGACTTTGTCGGAAATTCGTCTGATACAAGCTCCAACAATGGCTTGAAGAGATCAATCCCCTGTTCTTCCATAACAAATCCCCAATTGTAATTGGTGTTTTTGGCAATATTTCTGAGGATTTTCACGGCGTAAAAACGCCCTTCTGCACTCCCCCTTTGTAGAACAATAGCTACGGATTTCATCCATTCTTCTCTCTTAGACATTTCGTCGAACAGTTTGTCTTCATTTGAAATTGGAAACTGAGACAGAACTCCCAAAGCCTCCTCACAGGCCTCCAACGTCGAGAAATCAGAACAATCGATGAGAATTTGAACCACAACATTTACAACAATCCCTATCCCATTCAATCGAATAAATTCCGATTTCACCTCATCCCTCATTTCGATCATCGATCGCAATTTCCTCAACGAACTCACCTTAAACGGAGAAGACTCAACAGTGGCAAGAAGCGATTGGACTTGATCGATCGCCGTCGCCGGCGACGAGGAAGACTCGTTGATTTTCCAAGCGAGTATGACGCGTTTGAGCGTGAGATTAGGAGTCATAACGAAGTCGTTCTCGCCGACGGCGACGGTCTGCATCGTCGCCGGACATGTTCTTTTGTTGTAAGTGAAAAGCCATTTTTCAATGCTCTTTCTCTCGTAGGTGACGCCGGTGGAGATCGTAACGGGATCTTCCATGAGCTCCATGGAAATGGGGCATCGGAAAAGAGGAGGAAAATCGGAATCCATTGATGATCGAAGGTTTGTATCTGCAAATCGCTCCATTGGCGAGAAGACGAGAAGATGGTCTTATAGGGAATCTCTTAACCTTTTGACAATTTTTATTTTAATATTTTCCTAAAAAAATATATTAAAATAAATAAAAGTCAAATGAAAATCGGTGGGTTTTGCTAGCTGTTATGTTATAAATGGGAAGCAATACAAAACGTCTATATATTTTAAATAAATTAAATTTTATTTCTTCGTATTTGCAATATTCCCCCTTCATTTTTTGGTTTTTCTCTAATTTTCCCTAAAATTTTTGTATAATTATTTTTGACCTCGTAAATATCGATTAAATTTTTTAAAATATTGAGTGTTCGGGTCTCAATATTTTTATTAAATATTTATAAAAGTCAAAGGTAATAATGTTACTGGCAATTATATATATATTACCCGAATAATAATTATAATTAATTTTTTTTTAAAAGATTACGTCACAAATACGAAGAGAATATAAGTTCGATTTTTCAATCTCGAGCCATACAAATTCAACCCTTTTGTAAAGTAAAAATTATTTTTATTATTCCCACAAAATAGTTTAATTTATTTTAAAATCATATGCAAATTTGAATATGACCGTTATTGTTATTTTTTTTAATTTTTAATAATAAAAAAAGAGGAGATTTGTGATGGACATACCAAAAATGCAATATTTCCACCAAAATATACCAAAATTGAAATTTGACCATTTTTATTTGGTAATTTTATCATTGTTCTCCTTAATTTGTTGTTGAACCAACTCAGCCCTAATTGCATGAGTTGGGTGCACCGCATGTAGGGCATGCACACATTTTTTATTGCTTTCAAACCAGCCCAACAATTTTATGAAAAAAAAATGTCGGAACGGAT